TATGAATATATAGATGATAAATGTATAATAGACATGAGATAAGACATTTATTTGATAAGTGATAGATAGGCTGATAGTAGTTAGAAATAGAGTAGAAGACAGTAAGAAAGAGAGATGGTAGATGACAGATAAGATGGGCTAGAGCGGCTGAGAGTAGACAGATGCAGAACACAGAAAGATGGTGGATGGGGTAGGAGGAAGAGCTGTGGTTGGAATGTAAAAGAGGGAAGAAAAAAAGAAAATTAAAAAAGAAAGAAAAGAAAGATGGTAGTTATATGATAATCTCCCACCCAGAAGAGAAGCTGTGGTGGGCACATGGTTCTATGTTTTCAGGAAGTAAGCAAGAACAATCTTTTCTCTACTCAAAAATATCTCAGGATATGAAGAAAGCACAATCAAAAGCCAGACTCATATCACCAAAATGAAATATTCAATAAGAACAATGAGATGCAGAGTTAATAGTCCTAGAATTTTTTAAATTATTTTATGTGTGTGACTATTGAGGCTGCATGTATGTCTGTTACCACAAGTGTGACTGGTGCACAGGGAAGCTAAAAGAGAGCATTAGATTCCCGAGAACCAGAAGGAAAATGGTTGTACCTGTCATGTAGGTGCTGGGAACTGAAGTTGGCTTCTCTGGAATGCAACCAGCACTCTTAACCACTGGACCAGTTTTCCAACCCCAATACTGCTAAATATTTATATAGAAACTTCAAAGTAAAACCCTAAGAAATAAACTCACAATGCACAGTAAGTGTGCAGAAAATTGTGCTTTAAAAGTAGAGAGAAAATGACAGATGTGAAGGACCAAAGAATTTGGATTCATGAACACAGGTAGCTTCAGAGAAGGTAGAATATTTGCGACAAAAGATATCCCCAAAAAAGGTTGACAAAAATCTCATACACTGAACAACAGCAACAAAAGCCAATATTTCTTGTCAGACACTAATAAAGCTGTTTGCTAGTTATGTTCTAAATAAAAATTCATATTTTAACATGAGAAAATAGAAAAGATCAAAATAAACATTAAAGACCAAGAAGATAGCATGGATTTCAAGTAGCAAACACTCTAAAGTATTTGACAGCAGGGGACAGAAAGCCCTCAGCCAGGGAGCTGAAGCCAGGAAAGTGCTGAGAGAGACCCCTCTGAAGAGGCTTACAACCACTCTCTGCCAAAGAAAACTGCCCCGCATGCAGCTTACATGTACCCAAAGTAAGGTTTAAATACAACTGGCTTCAATGCCATGGTCTGCCGAGAGCTTGTAACTACATGGAAATTTTCTTTTATTTATGCAATTCTGTTGGAAACAAAAATAGTACAAACTCTTTGAAAACTGATGGGGCATTTTTATATTAGAAGACTTAACTTTTGCCCTAACTTTCAAGCCCACAATCTCATTTCTGAGATCTGTCCTAGAAAATTAAGATGGCATGCCAAAAGCACTGGCTGTGAGTTAGCCACAGGGAAACTTCAATCAGAAGCAAAAGTCCCCCAATGTTCAGAGCACTTCCCACACAAGCAAAGCGACTGGCAATCAAATCCCAGAACCAAGCATGTGCCAGATGGGCATGGCAACTGCCAGTAACCACCTCTGAAAGGCCGAGCTAGGATCCACAGACAAAGCAGGCGAGAGACTGGCAAGATCACTGAAATCGAGGTCTGAGTGACAGAGCCTGCCTTAATGAATAAGGCGGAGAAGCAATAGAGCATGATGCCCAATCAACCTAGGGCTTACACACACACACACACACACACAAGAAAAGATAATAAATTAATTAAATAGAGTCAAAATGACAGGTGTAAACTACTCAAATGTTTAATAATAAGATGTCGGTTATGTTGTATACGTCACATATGATATATCTTTAAATGGGAACATTTATGTACAACAATATCATGGAATGAAAGTAGGACATGAAATGGCAGGCATAGACATACATGCATAAACATAGGAAGAAAACACAGAATTCTGTGAGGTAATGAAGCAATGGGCTGTACATGATGCTGATACTAGATTATGTTTTTCCTAATATACAAAACATCCAAGTATATCATTGTACTTTGCTCATATTTAGCATTCTATATACTCATCTCTCCTGATGTTTTTAACTTTATTATAACAATTTCACATGTGGAACTCAAACTGTGTGAGTGTATGGAATCCATATCTGACAGCAGAAATAAAACGTGTAAGCGCTCAGCCTCATGGCATGTGTGTGCCTTGCTGATACTTTGCAGCCCCAACCCAAACTCAACAATCACTGAAGAAATAGTATATTTAATACCAGAATTTTGTTCTCTCCTACTTCTCAAAAGTAAAGAATTACAAGTTCACTACTAATTACAACTCTTTGATCTTTTAATGACTTATTATATATGTATTAAAAATGTATGTTTAGATCCCTCTCTGGGCTGGAGCTCAGGTGGATAGAAATTTTCTCTTCATCAGTTTCTCAACACACACATTTGTTATTTTATTTGAGATGTTTAAATTTATAGTGGTTTCTCAGAATATTGATCATTCAATCTTCAGAAATCCAAATGTGTAATTTTTCAGAAACCTGGAATTTGCTTAATTTAATCAATTAGCTATATCAAAATATACTTAATTATATTTTTAAAAAATGTAACTGGTTAAAAGACATTGAGGCAGAATTCAGGAAATTAGATGCATCACCAGAAATGATAAAGGAGTGTTTGTTCAGCCAGTAACTTGTCAACCAACTTCTTAGCTTGAAAATAACTTGGGATTTTTCTTCTGTTCAAAATAGTCTCAGAGTCCAAGCAAGACAACCTGGGCTTTGGAATCCGAGATAACGGGGCCAGCAGCTTGTGAAAGGCAGAACTAGGGCTTCCTATTTTGGAAAACTACTTTTCGAAATTTTGCTCATGTGACTGTATGCTCCTCCAGTTCTTTGGGGATACTGGCGGCAAAGATTTAACATTTTACTAGCCCTCTTTTATATATAAATTAGAGGTCTCTACAAATGTGTCAGCTGGGGCTCACTTGTGAAGAACTGATAACTGTCTTTTAAGGAAGGGGTAGTGTATGACGGCAGTTAGCAAAAGTGAGGCAGCTGTTGCAGGAGATTGTTCAAGAATGACTCTCAAGATCAGACTCTAGTAACACAAAAGACAAGGCTGATGATTTTAAAAGCAGGGAGCCATCAAGGCCAGAAGTTAATGCCCTTGTCGTGACTAGGGAGCCACTGAGATTACTGCAGGGTGGCAGAAAGAAAGCCGTCCTTATCTCAAACACCTTGTGATTAATGTCAGGTACAGGATCCCACCTAGTCTGCTCTGATTTGAAAGAGCAAAATATGAGGAGCAACGAACCTAATTCTTGAACCTCACCAAGCCAGGGACTAGGCTTGGTGAACAAAGCGTGTGTTCATGCTGCTGGAGGGAGAAAGGACAGAACATGCCTCCATGTCTTTGTTTGCCAGCAAACATGCTGACGTGGCAAGGCTTCTGCTTACATGTAGCTTCATACCACACGCACCTGCCTCCCTGCCAAACCAAAACCCTGGCCAGAGCCCAAATTTACAGAGAGCTTGAGAAATACAAAGGTCAGTTCTCCAAGAGCAAAGTGGAGCCCAACAGTCGAGGATGGACACCGAGAACACATGAGGTCCACCTGCTTTCTCTGCATCTATACAGACCCGTGCAGCAAAGTCACCAAAAGCCTCAACGTCACAAGGATGGTACATGATGTCCTAGGGCAAACATCACTTTTCCCAATAAAACTGGCATCATTTGCCCTCTGAAGTTTGAATATGAAATTTTTCCCATAGTCTCAATGTGTGATCACTCTGTTTCCAGCATTGCTTAGGAAGTTTGTGAGACCTTTGGGAGGTGGAGCCGCACTGGAGGAAACAGGTCACTGAGAGAAGGGTCTTGAGGTTTTATAGCTCTACCTTACTTTCTTTTTCTCCCTACTTTTTTACTGAGACAATGAGACTAGATTCTGGCCCACCTGCCCTGCCACACTGGACCATACCCTGTTGAACTCTAAGTTTCTAAACCTAGGCAAACCGTCTTCTACTTAAGTTTCTTCTCATCAGGTACTTTGACCACAACAGGAAAAAAAAAATACCTCTTGCATTCTGTCTCCAAAGAGGAAAACCAGAGGACTCCTCATCAGTCAACTTCAGCATGAAAAGTTTGTTCTACTTCTAATGAATAGACAGACTACTATATTAGATATGACGAGAAGGCAATGCCTGTTCATATTTATAAATATGTTCAAAACAATACAAGGCCAGCATGGATGGACTAAGGTGACGGCTCCATAGTCAAAGTGCTTGCCACACCAGCAAGAAGACCAGAGCTTGGAACCCCAGAGACAGTGTGAATGTTGGGTGAACGTGGTGGCCACCAGTAACTCAAGCTTCCCAAGGCAGAGACAGCAAATTCCCAAAGTCATCTGGCTAGCAAGACAAGTTTGTTGATCACCTCAAGATTTGATTGAGAAACCTTGCCTCAAATAATAAAGTGAAGAGGGATCAAGAAAGATTCCTAAAACTAACCTTGGGCCTCCTCACACATGCAAACACACATGCACAGAGGTATACATGCCATACACATGCACACAAAAAGAAGACAAGGAAAAGAAAAAGTTGCATTTTGTAACTGTCTTTTTCCCCTTGTTGTGCTTGTTCCCTTAGCCAGCATCTAGGCTGCCTCAGGTCCCCGAGACATCACGGTGATACGCAGGCTCCCTATTGAGATTAGAGCTTTAGTGGGTTCCTATGCCACAGCCTCCTGAGACATGCTGGAGGAAATCCGAAGATTCCAGACTCACTCCTCATTGTCCACCCCTTAGACCAGCAAGCTTAGATAAGAGAGAATCTGGAAAAAGCTATTTGGCTTCAACCCCACAGCAGTCAGGACAGAGGGATAAGGAAGGAACAGGGAAAGGGGAGGAGCATGTCAGGCAACCACAATCCCAGGGAAAGTTTAAAATTAATTTATCTTGTGATAATGTATTGACAGATTGGTTACTGGAAAGATATGGAGCCAGAAGACTCTGCAGAAACAGTGAGAACCAGAGGGAATGAATCATTCGTCATGTTGACAGAATTGGAAGGAGATACCCTCTATCACCTCACAGTCAGGGCTTACAATGGAGCAGGATATGGGCCACCCAGCGGGGAAGTGAGTGCCACCACTAAGAGACACCGTAAGTGACCTGAGCTTTTGTGTGTTTCCGAAAAAAACTGAACATCTTTGCAGGCTTCTGAAAAACACATGATCAGAAGCACACAAGGTGCATAACAAGCAGAGCCGAAAGGGAGTCTCGCTTCAGTGCTCCGATCTCAATTCCAAAACCAGCTAAAAAAAATTTTGCATTCACAGTTTGTAAAGGTTATCATCCTGTGAAACAAGGCTAAGCGATTTTGACGCAGAAGGGAGATAATAGGATTCAAGTTCAAAAGCTCAGTGGAGTAGCTATTAAAATGACCCTCCTGGAGCAAAGCCCTCCTCATCGGACTCCAGCTGGAGGGAAGCATGTGGCACCAGCCACCTATCAGACACCGCACAGAAATTCTCAGGACTGAAATGAAGAAATGATTTTTGGGCTTGTCAGTTCACTTCCCTTTTTATCTTGCAGCCCCAAGCGAGCCTCCTGGCAACCTCAGGTGGGAGCAGCAGGGGTCTCAGGTTTCCCTAGACTGGGAGCCTGTCAGACCTTTAGCCAATGAGTCTGAAGTCATGGGCTATAAGGTTAGTATCTGTTCCTTCTTTAGACATAAACACATCTCGAAAACTGTTACTGCATGGGTGGTTCATGAATGGGGCATCAAGAATCCTCTGATAACCATTTTTGTTTTCTTGATGGCCTTTTCACAGATGTGGCTTTTGAAGCTTGGATAGATGTTTGTATTACAGATTGGGCGTCTTTCCGTCTTACCGCCACCCTCTATTCGCTCACCCATCCTTTTCTTACGGGTCCTCTCTATCCCCTTAGGCCAGTTCTTCCCCTTAGGCCAGTTCTTCTCAGCATTTCTAGTGCTGAGACCCTTAACATGGTTTCTCATGCTGTGACCTCCAACCATACAATTATTTCATTGCTACTGCATAACTGTAATTTTGCTTTTGTTTTGAAATGTAATGTAGACATCTGGTATGCAGGATATCTAATATGTAACCACTGTGAAATGGTCATTTAACTCCCAAAGGAGTTGAGACCCACTGATTGAAGACCACTGTCCTAGATGATGTTACTTCTAGTTTATTCTCATATATACATGCATCGTTTTATATTTCTCTATAGAGGCATTTGTTTGGGTGGAAGCATCACCCCAGCTCCTGACATCCATATACTCAAAAGAGTCTGGAATGTTTGGGTAAAAGTTCCATCCCAAGCCCCTCCCCTGGGAGTTGCCGCAGTCCAGACTCCACCTCCGAGAAAGCCTGTCAAACAATGAAGCCCCCCAGGGGTGCTCAAGACCACTCCTACAGGGAATTTAAACTGCCTCCCAGAGAACAAACTTGGGGCTTTCCTGTCTTCCTTCCTGGGGCTCCTCTCTGGGGGGCTGGAGGGCCACCTTGGAGTGCTGGTATCCATTAAACCTAGGCTTTTTCTAATTTGGTTTGATTTGGATTATTGTGTCAGTGGAGAGGTTTATGGGGTACAAAAACTTTTCAGAATCTGTGAATTACAAGTGGGATTATAGATATAGTAGCTATTCTTCTGCAATTGACTAAACTTGCCTAACACAATTCTTTCCAATGGAATTCATTTGCCTGCAAATGACATATAGAAAAGATAATTCCATTCTGTATTCTTTCCTTATCCATTCTTTTTCAGTTGAATACCTAGGCTGATTTCATAATTTATCTATCATGAATAGTATGGCAGTCATCAGTTCTGTGCAATTCCCTCTGAGATACCTCAACTTAGAAACACCCTTTCATTAATTACTCAGGGCCGTATAGCTAGGTCATGTGGAAGATATTTTGATCATACTGTGTCTATTTCTTAGAGTGAGTGCTTTCTGGTGGTGGGTAAAGCAGTGGTCAAACTCAATTCCAAATCTGCAAGGCATAGGGAAGAAATGATTAGAAAAAGCTTTAATACCCTGAATTTAGATAAAAGTAATTCATGTGAAAACAGCCCTGTAGCATCCAGTGCCAGATGGAGGATCCTGGTCGTGCCTTTGCAATAAACTTCATTGGCAGATGACAAAAGCCTGGAATTCTAAGACTAAATAGGGTAATTTTCTGTTAAAAAATAAAACAAAAGAAGAATAAAATGCTGGGGCAGCAAATTAAATAGGAAATAATCCATGGAGAGAGACAGCATGCTACAAAAGATACATTCCGCAGGCATCTTGCCCGGGTTTATAGAAGATCTGGAAGTGGGAACCTCTACTCACCCTGAGAAACAACTTTGTTTAGAAATATATATGATGTACCTCAATATCTAACTTTTGGATCACATCATCAGATTTTAATATTAAACTCTGTACAAAATTATCAGTTGAATATTATTTATAATAGGTCTGAAAGTGTTTTTTGATGATGATATTTAGACTGAAAACCATGATAGTATAACCTTTCTATCAGAAATAATAAAATATTTTGTGCATGAAATAGCAAAAATCTGAATCTTAACAACAGATACAGTTACAAATGCAATATCCACCCATATATATACATGGACGGCTGTATATAGCTGTAAATACTACAGTGTTTCTTCACTGAAATTAATACTGATCACAGTCTTACACTGAAGCATGCACACACATACTCAGATCTGACTCAATTGCTCAGAAACATAGAATTTCATCTTTAAGGGGTATATGGGTCATTTTCTGGGTTATTCCATAAGCCCCCTCATTTCCACATCTCTCCCCAATAGATCACATCCTTCAAACTCATCCTCCAAGGCAGATATGCTCTTCAACAGTAAGAGAAACAGTTTTTCAGAATGGTGACAGACCATTCAGGGACAAGCCCAACAGCATGCGAAGTTGACAAATAGCCTTGTGAACTAGAAAGGCAATATAGAATTGTTTTTAAACAAAAAAGTAATAAACTCATGTGCCCACCAAGAAGGTTGGTGGCTTAGGTGCCTCTCCAGTGAGCCTAAGTTCCAAATGACTAAAGAAACTATGTTAGGCAGGGTCTACAGCTCCCCAACAATTCTGAATCCAGTATCATTTCAGTGGTTGTAACACAATACCAGACTTAAAGAAGAAAGTACATTTGGACTTGCATTTCTGCTGTACAGGAGAGGTCAAAGCAGGAACTTGAAACATCATATCCACAAATTAAGACCAGAGAAAAATAAATGTGTAGTCCCTTGATTGCTTTCTCTCAGGTACATTCCTTTCTATTATACTTCTATAATAGGAATCCCTGCCTAAGGAATAGTGCAGCCCATAAATGGTTTGATCTTTCCACATCAGTTATCAACCAGGAGAATCCCCCCATCAACATGTCCATAGGCCAACTCAATCTTGATAATCCCTTATTGAGACTCTCTTCCCGGGTGATTCTGGTTGTGTCAAATTAGCAATGAAATTAACCAGCATGCCAGTGACACTGAACTCTTGTCACTTCAGCCCACTGTGCCTGCCATTGCTCCACCCCTATACTCTATATGTGGTTTCTCAACAATAGGCAAGAACACTCACCCTCAACACCCTTAGGGGAGCTGAATAAATTCATTCAATTCATTCAAAATATTTTCAATCCATCCAGAAATATCTCATGCAATTATTCATCTATGGGTCTTACAAAACAACATGTGTTTTTTTCAGCATGACTTTCCCATGTGTTGTGATATGACAGACAGAGATCATTGGCTTCTAAATCAGACAGACTACAGTTCAAATCCTACTTGCATAATTTTGAACATGTTTCTTAACCTCCCTGAGTTCCATTTTTTTATTCAGTCAAAACTGGTAAAAAATGGAATTAGCAATATATGTGTTACAGCATTATTTTAAGAATTAGATAATTTGCACAAAATAATTTTATGTTTAGGCAGCATATATTGAAAAATTGATGCTTTTATTTTTCTATTGAGGAGATTACCCGACTAGGTGAGAAACATAAAATATGTTAACAAAGAAAACTAAAAATTCCTGTTTTCTCACGGTAAAGACCACACACATCTCTTTGGAATACCTTCTTGCTTGGTAGAGCCTCCAACATAGCTTATCTTAGTTGTATAAACACACAAAAGCAGGTCTGCATTGCAAGATATTATTTTCGTTTTTGTTTTCTTGAAGGAGTTCCACAACCTTATCCCTGAGACAGAAGAGCTGCCTAAATGAGGCTACCAATGGCATAGAGAGCCGGCCCTCCTCACCCACTTATCTGCTACTGTAACTAGAACCTCTGCTAGTGGGATGGTGCTTTGGATAACTGTGGATGCAAAGGGTCCCTTGATAAGAAGGCTTCACAGTGTTCCGGGGTCTTAGTGCAGGGTTCTCCTGACACAGGCACCATGAAACAGGAATGGTCTCTCTAGCTAGAGACCACAGGTGAGAATATAAACAAGAGGCGTAACCCAGAGAACACACACTTGAAATGTGGTTCTGAGGAGTAATGCAGTCTAGGCAACGGTCTCCGGGCAGTGATTAGACATCTATCCATGTCATTATAGGGAAGTGCATGCACACTTAACTGTCATTCAGGTGGGGTGGGGAGCATCAACTCCTAGCTTATTCCAACTGGATTCCAGAAATCCTGCTGCCAGGTCAAGAGTGACACCAGTATCTTGGCACACTACCTACCTCTCCATACTCATGGAAGATCTACAGAATAAAACAGAGCACAGCAGACATTTCTTTTTCCATGTGGTCATGTAGGCCATTCTGATCTAGTAAAGCAGAAGCTGCTCCTGGGTGTTCTTGGAAAATTCAAAACAGAGGTACCTTGTTATTCAAAGAAGTTGAGAGAAGGTATGCTTTTGCTTGTACAACGTTCTCCTCCTCCCAAGAGAAGATGCCCACTCAGAAAAGACACAGGTTGTCAGAAAGAATTCAAGACAAGAGCCCCGGGCTGCAAACCAGGAGGCAAATGTTTACAGTGTCCAACCTATACCTGAAAGATCTTTTCTAGATTAAAATTCTCTTTCCTGTGTTTCCTCTCTCTACCTTCCCATCCCATTCAAGCTAGGAAGAGTAGGCATGAATTAGGTGAGAGGTTACTGATTATCAAATGGTCTTTTCATGTACCTGGAGATTTTCCTTTGCATATGACAGTTTAGTGGTCAGCTAAAACCTTCTCCCACCTGGGAGTTATGTACACCAAGAGTTACTTCACATCTGATGCAAATGGGAACACTCACACCCACACTTCTCCATTTCTTCAGGAGTTTATGAGTCAATGAATATGACACTCTATAGCTTCAATTCCCTATATTTTTACAGTCTTTCTTTCATTTTATATTCATTCCAAAATAGAAAAAAAAACTCTACCTCTTTCCTGTTTGACAGTGTAAAGCCTCATAGAATGGTGTACTTACTCAGGAAAAGTACACAGTGTCATTATGCCATCTGCATTTGATTATATTCAATATTATTTAGAACAAAGTCTCTTTTTTAAAACATAAAATAGAAATAACTCAGGTATTATATAGATGGAGACTTTTGTTGAAGAGATGGGTGTGGCACTTAGATTCCTATTGTAATAAAGATCAAGATTTTAGCATCTTGCTAAGGAAAGTGTTCCCTTTGGCTTACACACCCATATCATAGTCTGTCATTGAAGAGAGCCAGGGCAGGGACTCAGAGAAGAAGCCAGGAGGCAGGAAGTGAGTCAGACCCATCCACAGAAATAAGCAGCTTTCTGGTTTGTCCCTCGGTGCCTGCTCAGTTTCCCTTTTTATGTAGCCGAGGACAACCTGCCCAGAGGTGGAACTTTCCAGATCAGGGTAAGTCCTCCTGTATCAACTGTCAAACAAAGAAATGTCCCATTGACTTGCTTATGGTTCACTCTAATGTAGTCACCCTCTCAAGTGAGGTTCTCTCCTCAACTATAGCCTGTATCAAGTTGACAGAAAGAAATGGTACAGCATGTGAGGAAGGAGGGAGTGCCCACAAGTGTCAGCAAGAAACGACTTCTAAAGTTCTGTTACTTATGCCACAGTCAGTTGTACTTACAAACTTGCCTTTTAAAAAGTTTCTGGAAGTTTCTCTTTGCTTTTGAAACAGTCTTGTTAAGCATCCTACACTGATCTTGTTTCGTCCACCTAATCCAACTCCTAATGTTCACAACCTCCCAACTACTGGACACAGGCGTGCATGGCTGTGCTCAGCAGCTCATCTCCCTGACATGTGTCTTGCTTCATCTACCTTCTTATCACTGGGGCTTCAGAATGCTTAACCCATATCGTTGGTCCCATCAACTTTTCCCAAGGTACAAAGCTGAGAAATGGCCTTCCCCTTGACAGGATGCCAGCTTCTCAGGGGCATCTGTAGGCATCATGAACACATTTTCATTGTATTATCTGCATACTGACCTAATACTACTGTGTATTTAGAAAACAGCCATTTCCTTTCAAGGATAGCAGTACCAGGCTGGCAAAATGGGGCAGCAGCAAAAGGGCCTGTGGTCAATACTATTAACCTCAGTTTTACCCCTGGGACCCACAGACTGGAAGGAAAGAATCAACTTGTCAGGTTGACATCTGATCTCCACGTGTGTGCCATATGTGCCTACAAGTACACACACACACACACACACACACACACACACACACGTGGACAATAAATAAATGAAATGCAATCAGTTTTTAAAACAGTAACAATACCAATTAAAATTTTATTAGAATCCATTTATTTGGACAATCTAATACTCTTGTTTGTTTCTTAATGAGAATTTGAAACTCATTCTGACATTATAGTAGGCAATGTGTTTTATGAATAAAGATAGCTGTCAGTGTAACTGCCAATCTAGAAATGCCCAGATTGTTGAAGAACTCCCTAGCCTCCTCAGTATCAGTAACTAGTTTTGCCATGTCTTTATAATTCTTTAGTCTTTTTACATTTCTAAATCAGGTCTTCCAGCTGGACCAAGATGTTCCAAAGTGCTGAAGATTAGCCATTGGTTTAGTTGACCTTTTATTCAGCAGACGTCTTTACTGGTGTGTATTACTTCTTCGTACGCACCAATAAAAGCCACACTTAATCTCAGACTCTTTCTGAAGCTACTAGCTGATTTTTAATGTATTTTTGCTGTTTCTACCTTCTGTTCCTAAATATCACCCTGACTCACAAGTTTTCCTCCATCTCTATACTTTATAGCAATGTGAGATATGCATTCTTGGCTGCATTTTTCACTGTCATAAAAGTTGTAATATATTGAACAACATTAATTGTGTCTTCAGAAATAGTCACTCCTCTGCTGTTCCTTACCAAGCTACATACATTTCCATTCTCATAAATTTGATTTCTAATTACTACATGCAGATGATAAGATTGTAATTCATAACTATGTTAAAGTCAAAATCAGAATAATGAATTTTGACAAATTTGTGATTTTTGAGCCTAAAGAAACCCCTGTAGACATCTCCCAGAATTCACCAAATCTAAGCAATCATTCTGTGCATTGCTGTTCTCCCACTAGAGCACACTCCACCCTTGGTTGTACTGCATATTTATCTCTGTCCTTAGATTGCGTCAAGAAGCTAAGCACCTATGGTTTCTCTGACGGATATGACCCAAGTATGATGCTGGGTCAGATAAGGACATAGAAATGTGCACATAATTTTGAATGTCTATTCAAGCTATGTTATCTTTTTCCAGAAAGAATTTAAGTACATAGAACTATAGAGCATTACATACGCAGACAGACAGTTTCCTACAGACCCAGACACAAATTGATATCTGAGAATGGGTGGAATGTGTGTAACATGACAGCAAAGAAAGAATCACGTCACTTCATACATCAGCATATAAAATACTCCGTTGGAGCTGGCTGTGGTGGCATATGCATTAATTTCAGAACCTTGAGGAGGAGGCAGGCAGAACTCTGTGAGTTCAAGATCATCCAGTTTACATAGTGAGTTTCAGGCTAACATAGGCTAAATAGTGAGACCCTGACTCAAAAAACCAAATCAATCATAAAATGCTGCTTTGAGATCTGAGAGGTGATTCAGTCAGTAAAGTGCCACACAAACGTGGGGACCTCAGTTAGATTCTGAGAACCCACTGAAAAAGCTTGACATCTGAGGAGGTGGGCCTTGGGTCAAGCAGCCCATCTGAATATGTGAGCCTGTGGTCCTGGTGAAATTCTGTGTCTCAAAAACATGGTGGATGGCTCTTGAGAAATAACAGCCCCAGGCTGGCCTCTGGGTTCTGCACTCACAGACACACAAACCTGCACATCTCCCACCCACAATTCTGCTTTTCTGGGGTTTACATTGCTGCGTGCAAGTTAGTTCACACCCAAAACTTGTTTTCTATGTGAACACTGTGGTGCGTGTGTGCGTGCGTGCGTGCATATGTGTGTGTGTGTGTGTGTATGTGTGTGTGTGTGTGTGTGAGAGAGAGAGAGAGAGAGAGAGAGAGAGAGAGAGAGAGAGTAATTTATCTTGCTTCAAGCACATGAAATTAAAACACCATTCCACTGGCAGGCAAAAATAGTAGTAATAGGAATGACTTTCTCTTACTAAGCTTGTAGGCACCAGGACTCATGCTCAATTCTTTTCATACACTCTTGCCCCTTTAGTTCTCTTAACAAAATCATGAAATAGGAGGTACTATTTCCACAAACAAAAGAGTGGATTCAGGTTAGGAAAGGTAAGTAATTTACTCAGTCAGGAAGCTGTGGGCGATTGGCTTGGTTTGGTTTCAAAGAAGATTGTTTTGAACCCACATTTGCATAATGACTGAGCCTGTGCTAGTCCCATTAGGCAAAGGAATCATAACACCAATAATTATGAAAATGAATAAAAACAATGAAAATAAGTAAAAATGAACTTAATGTATCTTAGCTGCCGTTGTGTGGCTGTTATACCCCTCCAATTATACTAAACTATTATCGGAGGCAAAAGCATAAGAAAAGCAATGCATAGCAGATAGTTAGAAAGTGATCAATGCACTAATACCAGCCTCTAAGGAAATTCCTAAACTAACTAGCCACAACCTTCTATAATGATCTCCCAGCTTCTGCAGCCTTGGTTGTGCAGCAGCCCAGATAATACTGTGTGCAGATTTGTGTATCTGTTCTCCATGCCATATTTTTAATTATGCAATTATGGACACATGTTGAAAAATGTCAACTCTGAAACCCACTGTCATCCAAACACAAGTCTATGAATTCAGATAAGATGGAAAATGAAGTTTTGACTCTGATTGTCACTTATTCAATGGTTTTATTTTAAATGTTCTCCTTTATACCTTTCCATTCGAGGAGCTTCTGAGCCATTCTATGCACTGTAGTACCTCCAGTCACGCATCATGTTATAATACACATCACCCCCAATTGCACTGATAACCATGTCTCAGATATTCGAGGATGTGTTGTGGACCTGGGGAACATGAGTTTGTGTTCCATATATCACCCTTTTCGAGGACCAGGCTCCAACTTTTACTCATGACTGGCTTCCTATCTGCTTCTATAATCTTATTTCTCTTGCTCTTGTGTTTCATGTGTTCTGTCCATTGCATGGATACCATAGTTTCTTACTATTTAAGAGGTTTGGAATTTGTTTTTTTTTCTTTTCTATTTTTATTCTTCTCTATTTTCATATCTGAAAATCTTCATTTGGTAAGTTCTGTATTTATTTTCGAATATTTTTTTTGAGACAGAGTTTGTCAAAGTAGCTCAGGATGGTTTTAAACTAAGGACAATCTTTCTGCAGCGCTCTCAAGTACTCAGCTTACTGGTGTGAAACACCATCTCTGCTTCCAGTTTCCCTTCAAACACTTAGCTTAGGCACTGCCTCTTCTATAAAGTCTTCCCTTAGTCTCTAGACAGGTCACGTTCCCTTTCTACATTGCTATTGCCCCATAGACTCTTCCATCACAGTGTGTTATGACTGCAGCACATTTGCTTATGTAACAAAGCTGTGGAGCCCTGTGCCTAGCTCAGAGTGCAATATGTAGTTGGCAGTCAATAAACATTTGCAATATTCAATTGAATAACAAATAATTCAAGTCTCTATTATTGTTACAGGTTTTTTATAGGCAAGAGGGTCACAGTAAAGTTCAGGTTATTGAAACTCAGAAACCTCAAGCTGTAGTACCTCTCCCTGAGGCTGGAGTCTACATTATTGAAGTTCGAGCATACAGTGAAGGAGGGGACGGAACAGCTAGCACCCAAATTAGGGTGCCTTCATATTCAGGTAAGTCTGACACAGCAGGCTCAATCTGATGGATTTCACCAATGCAGTATGGTCTAAATCTACTGGACATTGAAAAATGTATGACAGAATTCAGAAATGTTTGAGGGGTTTCTCTTTCTTGAATTCCATACCATTCTGCAATTAGCATAAATAATACCTACAACCTAGAAGGCAGGTGATATTTACATCAGAATGTACTTCTTATAAAATTATTTGCCTGTCCTGGGCTAAGCAGTACCTGGCCACTTGTGTTTGAAAGTGTGTTTATACAGATACTAGGTTTTTACATACCTGCTTCTCTGTTATCATGATCGTCCTATAAAATAAGAGTGAACTTATAGGAAGTATTTTAATATTAAAAATAAATATTTATTGGCTTCTAAACCAATGACATATTGTTATTGTCATTTTTATTATTAACATTTAATTGTTGATTGCATATATTACTTATTGGGCAGCAGTTCCCAACTTCAAAGTACACACCTAGTGATATCGTAGAAGGCTCTGCATGTGGCTTACCTTATTAATATACTCGTCATATAGAGCCAGACCAGAGGCACTGTTTGCGGCTCTATTTTGATATTATAAAATGAGATTGATTGCACGTATAGCTGAGCAAAGGACAACCCTGAATCTTAAGGAAAAACTTGACACAGCACTTGATTAACCCTAATTTGTAAATGAAAGCTTCTATAACTACAGAGCATGACTGATAAGAGCCTCGCATCCAGCTCAGCATCAGTTTCTCCTTTTGAAAAGCTGTATTGAAGATCTGTTTTAAAAAGAAAAATTTTTTTCTTATATATATATTTCTTATATATATTAAGGTTGAATATAAGCAGAATGCATTGTGTGTGTGCATGAAATTACTAGACCAAGAATAAAAATGTTGCACTTAAAAAAAATGAAATGCCTTATATTTAGAGGCCATCCATTGGAGTGTTAAGGGAAAGGGCACAGCAGGTCTTCAGTAATCCTCTCAAATCACCTGAAATCACTGAGGGAAGATCCAGACTGAGAGATGAGAGACAGAGAGATGGATGATTGATAGATAGAGATAGATGACAGAAGGCTGCATGAGTGAAATAAGTAACAAATAGTTGTGCAAAAACGATAAAAATATCCACTACTCTGAATATATGTAGTCAAAAGTTACTTTAAGATGAAAAAAAACACACACAGCCATGTGCGGTGGTGCACACTTTTAGTCCTAGCCCTCAGGAGACAGAGGCAGGCAGATCCCTGAGTTCAAGGTCAGACTGACTGGTCTACAATCCAGAAGAGCCAGGCCTGCACGGAGAAACTTTATCTCAAAAAATTAAAACAAAACAGCAAACCATAAAATAAAAGACGTTTATAAAATGGGGGGTGTCTTTCTTTCTTGGATAACTACATGAAAAGGTCTAAGAATTAACATACCTTGAAATCACACAAAAAGTTTTCTTTGAAATTTAAAAGATTAAAAAGCCTCCTTTTCAATATTGGTAAGCTTCTCTTAACAACATTGCAAGTATTTTCTGACCTTCATCCTGTTCCTGATATCCTGATATTACAAAAGATGTTTTCCAATTTAGGTCTTCTTGCTGTGTGTGTGTGTGTGTGTGTGTGTGTGTGTGTGTGTGTGTGTACACAGACACATCTGTGCATGCTTCTATGTGTCTGTGCATGTCTATGTGTATATTTATGCGTATGTGTATATTTTGGTATGTGCATGTGTGTGTGCACATGTAGAAGACCAAGGCTGATGTCCAGTGTCTTCCTCTACTGCTCTCTGTGTCAGTCAGAGCTCTATTTCCATGAAAAGACACAATGACCATGGCTATTCTTATAAAAGAACCTCCTTAATTGGGACTTGCTTACAGTTTTAGAAGTTTAGTTCATTATCATCATGGCAGGGAGCATGGTGGTACACAGGCAGACATGTTGCTAGAGAAGTTGAGAGTTCTATATCCAAATCCACAGGCAGCAGCAAGAGAGAGAGACAAATGTGGGCTTGGGCCCTTGAAACATCAAAGCCAACCTCCAGTGACACACTTCCCAATAAGACCGTACCTACTCCAACAAGGTGCCACCTCCTAACCACTTCAAAAGTGCCACATTCTTGCAACCAGGCATTCAAATCTATGAGCATATGGGGGCCCTTCTTATTCAAACTGCCACACACCACACTCTCCAACTTTTCTATGTATTTTTGAGAATTTCATACGTATAAGAAACATATATATGAAATATATATGTATATTCAAGGTTTTTTTCACATCCAGCTCCCCCTCTCCCTTTTCTAACTCCTCCCTTAGCCTACACATCTAGTTTTCCAACCCAACTTTAGGTGCTCTTTTCAAAATTCACTGAGTCTACTTAGTGCTGCAAGGTTATACGCAGGTATGAGACATTCTATAGAAGAGTGGGGAGGCTTATCAGGGATCACATCTCTGAAGAAATTAGACTCTCACTCAGCCAATAGCGATCATGGCAGAAGACTGGGAAGAAGATTGGAAGGGCCAAACTGTGGATAATCATTGAAAAACAATGCATTCCACACATGACAGCATCTTTACTCACATGAACTCCACCTTTCTTTTGAAGACAGGGTTTATCACCTCATCTAGAGTTTGCTCTATTGGCCATATTGGTTCATCACTGCTTCCCACAGAGTTCCACAGCATTCACCTCTATAGCCACACAGGTTAGAAATGACAGATGCATCCTGCCATAAGTATGATTTCATATATGTGCTAGAGATATGAACTTAGTACCTCATGCTTGTGTTCCAATATATTCACCATCTGGGTCATTCATCATCCAACATAGTGTCTTTTGAGTTAAGAATTTTATTATGCCAGGTCTGAGAAGTTCCTTTTCACTCAAATACAGATTCTGTTGAGTCATTTGAACAATTTGGAAATATTTATACAGATTTGTTTTTCACATTTATATTTTAATTAACTTGTAATATCTATGAAATAACAATTTTTGTCTTCTTTTTTTATTAAAAATTTCCACCTTCTCCCCACCTCTCATTTCCCTTCTCTTTCCTCCCACCCACTCCCTCTCCAGTCCTAAGAGCAGTCAGGGTTCCCTGCCCCATGGGAAGTCCAAGGTCCTCCCCCCTCCATCCAGGTCTAGGAACGTGAGCATCCAAACAAACCATGTTCCCACAAAGCCAGTCCATGTAGTAGAATCAAAACCCAGTGCCATTTGTCCTTGGCTTCTCAGTACACATTCAGAGAGTCTGGTTTAATGAGATGCTCCATCAGTCCCAGTCCAGCTGGCCTTGGTGAGCTCCCATTAGATTAGTCCCACCATCTCAGTGGGTGGACGCACCCCTCATGGTCCTGACTTCCTTGCTCATGTTCTCCCTCCTTCTGCTCCTCATATTGACCTTGGGAGCTCAGTCCAGTGCTCCAATGTGGGTCTCTGTCTCTATCTCCATCCATCGCCAGATGAAGGTTCTATGATGATATGCAAGATATTCATCAGTGAGGCTATGGGACAAGGCCAGTTCAGGCACCCTCTCCTCTGCTGCCCAAGGAACAAGCAGGGGACCTCTCCTTGGACCTGGGAACCCCTCTAGAGTCCAGTCTCTTGCCAACCCTAAAATGGTTCCCTTAATTAAAATATCTACTTCGCTGTTCCCATATCCACCCTTCCTCCATCCTAAAAATAGCATTCCCCCAAGCTCTCCCCAATCCTCCCCTTCTCCCTTCTCCCTTCTCTCTCCCCATCTCCCCTTACACCCACCCACGTGCACCCAACTTTTGCCTGGCAATCTTGTCTACTTTCAATATCAAGGAGGATAACTATATAATTTTTGGGGGGTTCACCTTCTTATATAGCTTCTCTAGTATACGAATTATAGGCTCAATGTCCTTTATTTATGGCTAGAATCCACTTATGAGTGAGTACATACCATATTTATCTTTTTGGGTCTAAGTTATCTCACTCAGTAAAGTGTTTTCTATTTCCATCCATTTGCATGCAAAATTCAAGATGTCATTGTTTTTTACTGCTGGGTAAAACTCTTAAGTATATATGTGCCACACCTTCTTTATCCATTCTTCTATTGAGGGGCACCTAGGTTGTTTCCAGGTTCTGGCTATTACAAATAGTGCTGCTATAAACATAGCTGAACAAATGCTTTTGTAATATGATTGGGCGTCTCTTGGGTATAGTCCCAAGAGTGGAATTGCTGGGTCCTGAGATAGGTTGACTCCCAGTTTCCTGAGAAATCGCCACACTGATTTCCAAAGTGGTTGCACAAGTTTCCATTCCCACCAACAATGGATGAGTGTTCCCCTCACTCCACATCCTCTCCAGCATAGGCTATCATTGGTGTTTTTGCTTTTAGCTATTCTGACAGCTGTAAGATGGTATCTCAAAGTTGTTTTGATTTGCTTTTCCCTAATCGCTAAGGAGGTTGAGCATGACTTTAAGTGTCTTTTGGCCATTCGAAGTTCTTCTGTTGAGAATTCTTTGTTCAGTTCAGTACCCCATTTTTTTTAAATTGGGTTAATTAGAGTTTTAATGTCTAGTTTCTTGAGTTATTTATATATTTTGGAGATTAGACCTTTGTCTGATGCTGAGTTGGTGAAGATCTTCTCCCAATCAGTAGGTTGCCTTTTTGTCTTAATGACAGTGTCCTTTGCTTTACAGAAGCTTCTCAGTTTCAGGAGGTCCCATTTATTCATTGTTGCTCTTATTGTCTGTGCTGTTGGATTCTACATAGGAAGTGGTCTCTTGTGCCCATGTGTTGTAGACTACTTTCTACTTTCTCTTCTATCAGGTTCAGTGTGGTCAGATTTATATTGAGGTCTTTAATCCATTTGGACTTGATTTTGTGCATGGTGATAGATATGGATTTATTTTCATTCTTCTACAGGTTGATATCCAGTTATGCCGGCACCATTTGTTAAAGATGCTTTCCTTCTTTCATTGCATAATTTTAGCTCCTTTGTCAAAAGTCAGGTGATCATAGGTTTGTGGCTTAATATCTGGGTCTT